TATAATTCCCTCAGACTATTTAGTTTTAAATGAAATGGATAATGAATGGCTACTCCTATTACTGCATCACCAGTTAAATGTTCAGTGTTCTATTTATTTTTGTTTATTAAAATTAAAGATTAAAAATGACTTTGCTATGAGTATCTACACAGAACACATGTAAGTTTGCACTTAACTTGGAGAAGACAAAGGGTAATCAAATTACATTGAAGAAACAACCCATTCATAAAAGTTGTTAGAACACAAAATTATAGAGTTCTGATAAGATCCTACACACTTAGTTTACATCTTCACTCCATGTGTGATTGATAAATGTGTCAGCTAAGGAATAACACAGTCATCTTAAGAGAAATGTTCTGAAATATGCCAAGTGGTTGGTAAATGAAGTGGTTTTAAGCGGTTTAGTTTAGTTGAGTTATTATTCATATTACATCAAACAGGATACAACAAAACAAACGCCATATGCCGTCAATAACAGATCTCATACAAATCCATTTTTATACAAAGTACTGAAGTATAAAATACAAGTTTCAACAATTTGGAAGTCATCTACTAACTCAACTGATGCTTTCCTACAGATGGTTTTATAAACATTCTGTATTTCACACTCAAGAAAAGATTTCAGTAGTTTTATATAGGAATTAAGTTTGCTTAATATGCATCTTTCTTTTTCTAGGCATAGGCTTCGTACTACTTGTGAAATCTAGCTTCTCATTTTTTTTACCGCTTTTATCTTCTAAAATTACTCAGCTCAATTATAACGGTAAAAAGGTTATATGGTCGAATATATACATACATTTAGAAGACAAAAGAAAGTTTGGGTAAAGGATATTCTTCTCGATAATTTAATACATTGGTGGATAAAATCTAGTGTTTGCTTCAATGAGCCTTGTTCTGTACTTCAAATACTTCTGTAAACTTTATCATTTAACGCAATAAATTATCGAAAAGAATATTCTTTGCTCAAATTTCATTTTTCTCTTCTGAATATATATATATACAATATATATATATATATATATATATATATATATATATATATATATTAACGTCGATGGATTATCGATTTATCCCAATGGAGTAATATTGACTGTGATCATTAGCCGTACTCTTTCCTTTAACACTAGTTAGCAGGAAACATCAGTGTGAACACTGGCATTGCAGCAATCATGTTACCATAATTGCAGAAGAAACATCTAAGCAGGAACCTATCTTTCATAGTTTCTAATTAGTTATAACAAGCGTATAAACATAGACATTTGATACCATTGTGGCGAATAGAATTAGAGTTCAGACATTTGAATCGAAGGATAAAGATAATAGGCGTAATAACCACAAAATCAAACAAGTACTTATTTAATCTAGGTGCTCAACCACTGTGAATATATAAAGAAATTATGCTTTTTGTCTAAGGGTAAGGAAGACATAGAATTATTGTTTCAACGAAACTAAGTAATTAAGTATTTAGGTTTCTAACAGATTGTGAAACTAGGAATGAAGAAATACACAGACAGTTATGACTAACTATGATGACGGTGACAAAATAAAATTGAAAATAAAGGCAATATATTCGGTTATTTCGGTAATAGGAAGACAAATTCTTACGGTTTTATCTGAGTACAAAGTAGTCAGGAGTCTTAGGAGGAATTAAAACAGGAGAAACAGTTTAGCCGATAAAGCTGATTTAAACTTTCTGACGCCAAATCACTGAACTATGTTTAGCAACTGAAGACAAACTGACCAAGATAATCCAGGTCGGATCATATACAGAATAGTAAAATGTGAATAGTAATCAATGCTGTGCTCCGTATCCACCGAATAGAGCAGTATGGAAATCTTGAAGTTAAAAATTAGTGGTGAAGACTGTTGATGAGATGTCTCAAGATGGGCATCAGTCACGCATATGTGCACATTTCTTATCACTTATCATATAACTATTATCCGTTTATTTTATTTCAACCGTTCTTTTCTCTACTTATATACGAGCTTTCATGAAGTGTAATGCATTAGACTGTTGCACTTTTGTATAAACTTTTGTGCTGAAAAGTCAATTAACCTCACATTCTAGTGATGTGAAAGAAATACATAACGAAATCGTACCGTTTTAAAACGATAGTCATCTCTCATAAGAACAGTAACAACATGAATTAACCAAACTCGGAGGTCTCATGTTTCTACACTCCGAAATCTTGAAAATATGGAGTATCTTCAAGAAGGATATAGACACACACTGCAAAAGAAATTTAAGAAATCTGTTAAGTTGACTTAAAGTATAAGTGCTGCAAAGAGAAGTGTGAAACGATGAGTTTTGGGTATACACGTTTTCGCCACATGCAACATTAAGGGAACACCCCTCCCTCAGTTGATACTCTAACCTAGATGTCATAATAACTCACCTATTTAAAACTACAGCACAACATCACTCATTTGCAGTTTCGAGCTTTACAGAGACATGTAGGGTGTTTACTAAAGCCATCAGTGATATATTCAAAACTGTATACATATCTCTGGTGAAGTCTGAACTAGGAAACTGCATCTAAGCAGCTGATTGTTCCAAAAAAGTGACTCACTAATATTGGGAGTACTTTCAAAGCACGCCTACATGTATGATTCATGATGTAACTAATTTACTAAACAAGGAACACACTGGATCTCTTTTGCTCAGTAAAAAGAAGAAACTAATGACGACGTTCAGAATTTCAATAAAAGACTATGAACTTGATATATATAGTGTTTTTCCTAATATGAGGTGTGATGCTATTATAAGACCTATCTTCAAAGAGGGGAACAGGCAATTGGTATCTAACTACCGGCCGGTAAGTCTGACATGCATTATAGCAAAGGTATTGGAAACTATTATAAGGGATCAGCTATTAGCTCATGTTGGAAAACATGGTTTGCTGGCGGTGGAACAGCATGGATTCCGACCAGGACGGTCTTGCCTGACAAACCTACTATTGTCTTGGAAAGACTGGGTTGAGGCCAGAGATAAAAACTTTCTGCTGGACGTGGTTTTTATCGATCTTAGTAGGGCATTCGAAAAAGTACCACACTTAGGTCTCCTTAGTAAACTTAAAGGTTTTGGACTAGACCAATGCCTATGTGACTGGTTTAGAGATTACCTAATGGATAGAAGGCAGAAGGTGAGATTTAACGGTGTACTATCAAGGTGGAAAGCGGCATCCAATGGAGTGCCTTAGGGAACTGCATTAGGTCCCTTGCTATTCTCATTATGCGTTAATGAACTACCTGGGATACCCACTTCATCTTCATTATTATTTGCAGACGACATTAAAATCTGGAAAACTGTAAATAATAACGAGAATAGGTCGACATTGTATATTGAAGTAGATAAATTAGCTAAGTAATCGAACCTGTGGAGTTCGGAAATCAATTCTAGGAAAAGCGCGGTAATGCACTTATATCAGAAGTCTTATACGTCGGCACCCTAGGGGACACAGAACTACCTGATGTTAACGGAGAGAAGGACCTTGAAATCATTGTCAGCAATGATCTGAGAACAACTGCAAATTGCAATGCAGTCGCAGCTAAGGCTTTTTGAATGCCATGGGCACTCCGAAGAGCTTTCAAAAAATTAGATGAGTCTATGTTCAAAGTACTCTACGCAACATATGTCAGGCCTCATCTAGAATACTGCATACAAGCGGTGAGTCCTTGCTTCAAGAAGGAGGCACATATCTTAGAAAGAGTACAAAGGGTAGGAACTAAATTAGTTAGTGGTATCTCACATCTTCATTATGACAAAAGGATGGGACATTTAAATCTCTTCCCGTTATCATACCGAAGGAGGAGAGGCGACCTAATTTTAGCATATCGTATACTTAAGGGTGATTTAGGAACTAATCTTTCTAAGACTAGAACTCCTAAGCTGATTCAGTAGCATAAGCTCCATCGGTGAAGGCTTTCAAAGAGAAGTTGGATCTCTGCAGATATATATTTTGCAAAGATTAATACTGGCCACAAGAGCCTACTATCCTTATCATCTGAATCTGAAGACACAGTCAGACTGTTCAAATGCCAAAGATGAACTGAATTACTGTGAAGTACTTGTTTTCCCACCTTGACGTTCACTCTCGGAACCACCTATGAGATGAAGGCATGCTTCAGCTCTCAGTCAACTTCCTGAAAAGACGACATGAGCACGGATACTTAACAGAACAGGATTGAAACAAGCTCTATTATCAGTCAGAAATCTATAAAACAAAGGAAAGTTCGAGTAAAAAATATTCTTTTCAATAAATTCCTCTCGCAGCTCCAAAATTATATATGTGAAAAATGTTCCAGAATGATTTTCACTGAGTATTTTGAGCAATATCGATTTGCTAGGATCAATGGAACTAGAGTTCAAGAAAGTTAAGTGATCTTAAGCATAGAAAGTTTATTACTGAATAGAGTTTCAGATAAAAATTAGGGGAATCTACACAGCGAATTAAGGATCATCAAAACCTTGATGACTAATGTAAAGACAGTGTCTGTTACAACTTCTTTTGGATACATAAGTTAGGCGTCTTATTGTCAATTCAAATTGTCTCAGTAATATTTCACGCTCGAATTCTTGAGGTAAGATCAGTCGATACACTGTAGATGACTTTGAAAACCTTGTCAAAATCAGTCTCATGTTCTATATTCACAAGATAAAATACAACAAAACTATGAATGGACCTTTTCGTCCTTGGCTTTACCAAGCTGGAAGTCGTTTGGAAATCAGACTATAAACACACCTAATTTTATGCCCTGTGTAATCGGCCACATTAATTTGCTTATAGCCAACAAAAAGTTCCTGGTAAGCAAAAGAATCAAAAGGTGTAAAATGCCTTTTATTAAATAAAATAAAGTGACATTCAGTTGTTCAACTAACTGGAGATAAAACTCCCGCAAGCATATAGTCATACAGACATCTGGATAAGTAATTCTCAAAATAAGGCCGTAAACGAATCATTGTGCTTCATTATTAAAACACAAGGTGTTAAGATTTCCTGTCAACAAGGTTTTACATTTACAAGAGATCCTGTATGTGCATGCCACAATTGGATACCTTTTACTCGAGTTAATCGTGTATCAGGCTCCTTTCTACCGCTACTAACTTCACATTCTTTTCTGTATTTCTTGAGTGGTGGTGCTGTGTAGTAAGTAACTTTTTTTGCCAATAATGGCTTATCACTCGCCCATTTTGGTTTATTTTTATTCTTTTCAATAGATTCCAAAGTTTCACAAATTATTTGTTGTTCCTCTTTTTTATTTCCTTCCGATTGTTCCTCACGGTAAAAGAAGCCATACTGTTGATTTGTCGTTTGAGGTTTCTCCTTAACAAAGTGATTAAAAATTGGCGGGCCCTTGTGAGCATCCATTTAAATGTGTTTCCCAAAGGTTGCTATAGCAACGGATTTTGAACGAGAAACTGGTTTGAAGGAAGATCCAATATCCAATATCCTGATTACGAGCTAGCACAAACCAGTGATTTCTTTGAGCTCGCTTCTTGACTGTGAGGTACAGGTTCCAGATCTTCGGTGAGCTTCTGCGTAGTGAGTCCCTCCACTCGACTGCTTTAGCTCTGGTAGACTCCAGGAGGAGTGGTGCGGGGATTGATCGAGAAGTGGTTTGTAGTATGCAGTATGTTAGGACTGTATTGCTGCCGTGAATGGAGTTTGACCTAACTGCCGTTGGTCATTCGGTGTAGTCATAAAAAGCAGAATAGTAGTAATAATTAGAAGAATAAAAATAATGGGTTGTAGTGTAGATAATATAGGTTGAGATAAGTGGAATAATAAAGGTGACCTAAGGAAAAGATAGAGTGAGAGAAGGCAGAATAGGTCGTGAGGATTTAGCTTGTACGCTTATCCATTGACAGTGTGGTTTTAAGTTTTATGAGAATAAGCCATTGAGACACAAACCTTGCAATTCTGCATGATTGTCTAGCTTCCGCTTAAAAATCTCCACAGATGGCGCTGTAGTCACGGCCGCCGGTAAAGCGTTCTAGAGACGGCAAACGCGAAGCGAAAAGAAATTTGATCGCACTCGAGTCTTTGGTCTCTGGTGTGCTATCCTTAGCGGGTTACCTCGTGGAAGCCTATGGTCACTTAATGGCAGGATGCTTTTATTTGGGTGGGCCTGGTCATTTAGGATTTGGTAGACGGTGATGAGGTCTCCCCTGTGCCTTCGGTAACTAAGTGTGAAAAGACCTAATTTCTTTAGTCTTTCCTCATATGATTTGTTGCGGAGGCCGATCACCCATTTCGTCGCTCGTCTCTGGACACTTTCTAGAATGTTAGCATCCCTTTTGAGTAGCGGAGGTGCAATGATATTATGCACCTCAAGGTGTGGCCTCACATATGCCTTATATAACCTTAAGATGACAAAATATGTATATGTTAGTGTCAGATGGAAAACTGTGGAGATTATAGGAATGCGGTTTTAACAATTGATACATTTAGTTTAAGACTGCTGTTAACAGTGAACTATATTACGCCTGCATCTCCTTAGGGTTGAGCAAGTTGGCAGCTGGACGCGTCAATTATACTGCTGTGTGATTCCATAGCTGCCAATATGGGATGATAATTGTGGTATTTTAGAGGATGGTCAAATGTAAGTTTTATAGAACCTAACAAAGTGTTATGTCAGCATTTTGCCCACAATCCTTTCACGAAATGCAGCTCAGTATACGGCGCACTCAGGTCCTTACCATAGTTTTAGACTTTGGCCATAAGTGAAATGTCTGGTCAAAACATGCCTGGGTATTATTTTGAAAGTTACTTAATATTTCTTTCGATGTTTCAGAGAGTTACAAGAACTTGAATACCACAGCATATCACCATGTTCACTCATCAGACTCAGAAATGATGTATGTTGTGCTAAATCCAGCTTTTTAGGTCATGTTGTGCCTCATGAATTATAAAGTTCCAGTCAAAAAGTTCCCACATTGATCATCAGTGGGTCGTCCACCACCCTTAAACCTACAGATCTGTGCCGATTGACGTCTTATTGATCCGTAATTTCGGCATGAAAATATTGTCGGTTCCCAGGGTATAATGCGTTATCAGGCCGAATGGTTACACTCCTCCATTCATTGGTTTCTCGTCGAAATGCAGGATGAATATTTTGCGTGCTTAGAATATAACCATCACGCAGTGAATAAATAATACAGAACAGCACAGAGTGATATCTTTTGCAGAATATCAAATCTTTTAAGAATTTGCTCGCCATTTTACCTGGTTGGGCTGTTTAACTTTTTATTCCTAACTAAAGTTCTTTGCTAGTCCTCAATGTGAGCCCGGTGCTTTTGATGAAGAAAAATGTCCGAAGCCATGCAAAGGCTGCCAAAAGTCATTTTGTACACAATTTCAACTTTGAAGGCCTTCCAAAGTATTGCAGTGTTTTCACCAAAGTAATCAGCCTGAGGTAGCGAATGCCAATAGAGGTACATTTAATGAGTAAGGTATATGAGATGATTGGTGCAAAATAAACTCGATACTATACAAAATCAGATTATAACTACAAAAAATTTTATTTTCCAGGTTTTCGTAAGTAAGTAGCGATAGATCTCAAAGTCAGCAAACAATCAACCCAGGTCTACTTTATCGTCGCAGTCTCAGGGTTACGAATCTAAATGATGTAATGCGGTGTTGAATGACCTGGCGAAATTCCCTATAGCATCAGAAGTTAAATCATTCAGCACAGTATTGTGAGTAAACTGACATTTCGACAAACTTATTTTAATGTATTTGAACAACCTATCAGCAAATCCTTTATCCCCAGTTCTCTCCTCCTATAAATTTATGGAGTGTTCTTATTACATATTCCCACTACTTGTAGCGCCGTGGGCCACTGCTATAGTGGTTTCATGACAAGGTCATTTTCTGCATGCTTTCAAGATGAAATTTTGCGCTGAAATTTGTGTGGAGTACATATTATCGGTAGCATTATATTCTTAAACTGCGTTGCATTTGCTACAATTTTATCAAGAATTTTTGTTTTGATACTCATGAGTGCGCAATTTAAAGGGTTAAACGATGCAGCAGGTTCAAAAGTCAAGCGTATTTTTTAAATTTTCCATATAACTGCTAAGTTTATGGGCGAAGTTAAACTTTCGACACCACTAACTACCAATCAGCGAATTATCCAATGAGATTCACGAACGATGTCGAATTATCCAATGAGGTTCACGAATGCAGTTCAGTGTTGTATAGCGCCTGATTCATTTCTAATGCGTGACCCTACAAGGCTGTTGTTGCAATTTGAGGAGGTTAGTGTTTCCCAGTATTTCCTAGATTTCAGTTGCTCCGGAAAGAACGAATTTGATTGTGTGGTGGTATCATGACTTTAAAAAGCTAAACCAAATCAACTGATGGGTTTGTTCATCGTTGTGCTATATGTTTGAAGCCTACTAACACTAGAGAGGGTATGCTGATAATTTTATTATTTCGTAGGAACTTTTTTCGGTAGTTCGCTTCTCTCCCTAAGGATAGCAGATAGAAAAGCAACTACTCTTATACCTATTGTTACCAGAATTGTTAAGCGGGGGTCAATTATACACACGGAAAGGCTACAATTCGCTGTCATCTCTGGGATATATTCATCGTAGAGACAACCATTCAAGTGATTTTGTGGATCCCGTTACGAGGACACATACAAATTCTAATGAAGGATTTTGGGGCAAGTTGGAAGATAGGATAAAGGCCATAAATATATCTCAAAAGGATCTCATTTATGGTCATTTGGATGAATATATGTACAGGATATGGTGTAACTTCTCCATTGACAGTCCCATGCTAAACTGGGAGATTTTTCTCTCACATGTTCGAGAAAGATATCCCATGTAACCTATTTTATTCTCTATTTTATGCTTTTTTCTATAAATATACATTTCCATTCATCATATATGCCTCTTTAATGTGATTGGTCCGTTCGAGGTCGTTTGCTGATTGGTTGTTAGTGGTGTCGAAAGTTTAACTTTGCCAGTTTATGTATACCTCAGTTGCCTCAGACATTCAATAATTTGATTGAAAGTAAATGGCGTGTTGCTAGATTATTCAAAAGCATCAGAATGAACGTATCTAAAGGTCAGTTCACTCATAACCCTATATCCTCTGGATAGCTCAGCAAAATCCTTGTCAGCCACGTCTCGTAAACCGTTAATGCCCAGCTCTAGCTACGCTCAGGCTCACGCTATTCCTCGAAGTTTCTCAGAAACGCTTGGTAATAACGGACGCAAAAACCAAAACACCAATTGGCGACTCGAGGATTCTTTATTATAACACAAACGTATAAACACTGTTACAACTAAGGTCTGTGAACAAATATTACAATAATAAATCGCAATATTACTTCTGACGGTTTTCTGCTGACTTCCTTCTGAACAGCAACCGATGAGACAATGACTGTCGTATTGATGCCTCCGCGAAAATTGGGGAAGTTGGTTTTGAGCAAACAACCATGAATTGATCGTTCAATCTTCAACTACATTGACAATACTGTATAATTTAAGTCAATTATTTCATGTGATAATATGGATGAAATATAAATTTGTCATATCTTTTTCATCATTAACAATATTATATTATTTATTATTGTATCCTTTAGTTCTTAGAGGAACATAGGGCTTCAGCTGCGCACCTCCATTGACTTCGGTTTTTTGACAACTTTTTCACCCTGCTCCAGGTCTGCCCACATGCTTTCATCTCCTCTTCACATGACCTCCTCCAAGTCACCCTTGGACGACCAACTCGCCGCCTCCCTTTCGGGTTCCACTCGAGGGCTTGTCTAGTGATGTCACTTGTTGGTTTCCTCAGCGTATGGCCAATCCATCTCCATTTCTTTCTGCCTATTTGTTTAACAATCGGTTCTTGATTGGTTCGCTCCCAGAGATCCCTGTTGCTGATCTTTTCTGGCCATCTGATCTTGAGTATTGAGCGAAGACAGCTGTTAATGAAGGTCTGAAGTTTGTTTGAGATGCTCTTTATGACTCGCCAAGTCTCTGATCCGTATAGTAGCACTGACTTCACATTGGAGTTGAAAATCCGGATCTTATTTTTGATGCTGAATGCTGTTGACCTCCACACAGATTTGAGAGTAATGAAAGCTTGTCTTGCTTTTCCGATTCTGGCTTTGATGTCCTCGTCAGTTCCGCCTGTAGTTGAGACGATGCTTCCCAGGTAGGTGAAGGAGGTTGTTTCTTTCAGGTTCTTCCCATTTATGCTTATTGTGGTCTGTTGTTGCTGTTGATGTTGGCAAGGAATCTTCATCATCTCTGTTTTATCTATGTTCACGTGAAGTCCTATCTTTGATGCTTCTTCTGCCAATTTGTTACTTTTCATTTGCATATCTTCCAGTTTATGGGAAATCAGACATATAT